GGGCTTGAGCCATTATTGATGAAACCCGTCTTTAGCTCCTCGCTTCGGCTGGAGTATCGAGAAAAAGGGAAGACGACCACGCGGGGAGTTTTGAGTAGAGGGGACTCTCGCATGGCTGTTCCAATTAGGGATGTTAAGCATAGCCACTCCCCATGGTGTCTTTGCCCAGCCGTCCAAATAGGTCTCGATCCATCCTCTTCTAGGCGGAACTGTAACTGAAAGTTCTGCACTCGGTAGGTCAAGGGAGAGAATAGTCGACGCTATCTTTAAGCGAGCCGGATGGACGAATCGGCTGCGGAACGTGGGAGAAGTGTAACACACCACAGTGCCACTTCGTAGGTTGTGACTGTCACTCCATCAGTATACAACTACAAGGACAAGTAATAGATAGAAGTACTCGTATATCTTTTGCTGGCAGGAATGTCTCCTGACACATACACAATAACATCCCGCAGTCAAGGAGAAGGAGAAGGTGGATTTTCCTCGCTTCATCTTCTCCTACCCTCAACATTTCGACCATTTCAAGGTGTACAAGTTAGAGGTAGTTAGGTACAACGTAGTCGTCAAAAACACACCAAGAGAAATGGCTGCAAGCGCCTAGAAAGCATTGGATGCAGAGTTGTGCGGAGTTGATGTTGTGAAACACGCCATTGCGCCGTGATACGTTGAGATGCAGCGCAGCGCAATGTGATGCAATGCCATGGAAACTGCACTTTTCGTACTTTGCAGGACTGCGCACCACGACTAGTTGCATCTCTGATGCCGATCAACTGCGTGTCCTGTAGGAGCTAGTTCCCTGCCTGCAGAAGTAGCTTGCTATACAGACCTTCCCTAATGCGCAGATACCTCCCTCTCTTAGTACCCTCAAACTAGTCTTGGTTCTCAAACTTCAATCCCCCTTGCAACCTCGCCGCGCCATAGATACCAGCAATGTCGCCCTTTTCACCTACCGTCGCCTTGACTGTCTTCAAATACTCGTCTCCAACTTCGACTTGTCGCATCCGACACCCGCTTTTCTTGGCCAAATCCATGGCATGCCTTGCGTCTTTTCGTGCCAGGTCCACCGCGAACAGCGGCTCTTCGCGCTTGTAATAGTCACCGGTTGTCATTCTGCTCGAGTAGCCCGTGTATGGCCCCGGGAACATGACCTCGATGAATTTGTGGAGCTCATCGACACCTAAACCCGATTTCTCGGCCAGGACATGTCCCTCGGACAAGGCGTTGACCATGCCCAACACAAACGTGTTGCCAATGATCTTCAGGAGTGTCGCCTTGCTTGGCTCTTGACCCGAGAAATCAACATTGGCCCGGCCCATCACCCCCTTGCAGTATGGAAGCATCCTTTGCACCGCTTCAGGTTTTCCTGCCGGAACACATATCAATAGGCCAGCGTCGGCCATGGCTGGAGCACCAAACACGGGACACGCCACGAAGCTGGCTCCCTTTTCTTCAACCATTTTTGCTTCCTTGGCTGTGGTCTCGGGGTGAACCGTGCTGCAGTCCACAATCAGCTTGCCCGTGACGTCGGGTTTGAGGACCTCTTCAAGCGTCGAGAGCACGGCTGGGTCGTCGCCCAGACAATAGAATATAATGTCTGCTTTTGAGGAGGCGTCTTGTACGGAGGAAGCGACGGTTGCGTGTCCTATTTTTGCGGCGAGGTCATGCGCTCGTTGCGGGGTGCGGTTGAAAATGATCAGAGGTTTGGCCAGGTTCCCTTTCTCTACCAAGTTCTTGCACATGCCCTTGATTTGGGAGTTAGTGTCTTGTATGGCAGGTCGTTGAGCTAGTTACACTGACCCTGCCCATATTTCCCAGACCTAGCCAGGCCAATTGAGGCGCCATCTTGTCGAAATGATCAACGTGGAATTGGAGCTGGAGTGCACAAGGAGTGAGGGGCTTTGAGTGGGCAACGGAGTGTGCTTAGACGTCCTCGACGTATTTCATTCACCTGCTATCAATAGGGATTCGTTCGCATTTATATCTTTAAGACCTACCCCAACTGACACGGACCGTACAAGAAGCCAGCCTTTGCCGTTTCTCTCCGTTGTCCCTCATGACGAGGGTCGTCGTAAATCGTACCTGGAACATGCGGAGACTTTCCGGAGGCTGACAAAAGTTCAACCACCGCGTCGAGTGGTTCGCACAGCGCGTAAATCAGGCTGGGTTTCTTCTGAGCATCGGAAAAACACGGGTTCCCGGTGTGCAGACATAATCTGATAGGCATTTGCGATGATATATGGGCAAACAGAACCTATCTTTCCATCCCCTAGAGGCATGAGAAAGGGTGCGTACGTACGCGTCGAGGCATGGAGCGCAGGGAGAAAAAGGGAAATGTTGGAGAAAGAAGCCCACCAGAAGCCAGTGTGGCTCTGTGGCTGCACCGAGGGGTAGGTTCAGGCGACCGACCATTCATATTTGCAGCTTGTCAGGGCGGTGAAGGCCTTCGGTTGGCTCAATGCTCAATGCGGCAGTATCTTTGCTTTTCTCGTACCAGCAGCGTCACAAATTTTCCCTCGATCCATGAATAGATGCGTGATGAAAATCTGCGCAGGGTGGCTTGATCTATGCCCTGTGGCAGCATATCTCCCTAGGTGACGTTCTCATGCACTTGTTTGGTCTTTTGGTGCCTCATTCTTGTTGACCGTCCTGTGAAAACATGAACCACACCGCCCTGAGTTCAGTTCGGAGTCATTGCACCTTACCGTTCCCTGGCAGAAACGTCGCTGCTGAGGCCTTGAGGGCCTACCTCATCTCTCACCCGTGCTCCCCATCGCTCCTCCTCCGATCTAGCTCTCGTTCCTACTCTACGCAACCTGCACCACGGACCGATGACTCTGCTTCGCATAATGTTCCAGATGTCCTGGAGCGGGATCAGAAAGCCTCCTTTACCGACACTGCCAAACAGCGTCTGGCAAACAGAGAATTCTTCACGAGCCTGTTGAGCTCGGCAGCGACCAAAAGAGATGCAAAGGCGTATATATCCCGGCTTAAGAGCCCGGAGAAGGCACCCCCGGAGCAGAAGTATGCTCAAACAAGATCACAACCACAGGTCAACGCGGGAGAGCTGCTCGGTCGAACGAGAGCCTCTGAAGAAAGTCCAGTCTTCAAGCAATATGAAAATGGGAAACACTCTACACTTGAAGAGCTGGAGACCTTGCATGTGGCCCTCGTCAAGATCAGCAACATTAATGCCATGGCTGATGAGGTAGTAAAGGGCATTGCGCAGACCTTGTCTTCTCTTTCCCGCCTGAGCATGGCACCCTGTGTTGTCTTGGAGGAACCCCAGCAAGAAAGTCCGCAAGCGACGCGAGCAACTCTCGCCCAGGCTGCAGACAAACTTGTGGCTGCCATTGACTCGGTCCATCTCTCGGGAGCGAGAATACTTGACAATGTCTTGAGCTTCGCTGCTGACGGCAGGCCACAAGTCTTCCTCCGAAAGCTTTTGACCCGGCCTCTCAGGCGAGGGAGGATACCTATCGTCCTTCCAGTAGCTTATTCCACCGAATGGTCACAAGCTGTATCGATCACAGCCGACGAAGCTGTGCTGGCCTTGACCAGAGAACTTTCTGGATACAAGTCTAACCCTCGAGAGGGCCAACAGCTCGAGACGGCGCGCAAGCAGATATCCTTGGACAGAATTATCGTTGTCGATGAGACTGGGTCGATCCCAAGCACAAAATCCATTGACAAACGGCATGTGTTCATCAACCTGGAGCAGGAATATGCCGCCTTGCAGGAAGAACTGAGAAGCTCAACTGAAGGAAACGTGTCTCAGAAACATGCCTCGAATCTGAAATTGTTTCGAGACGCTTTGAAAATGCTTCCCCCTTCTTCGTCCGGATTACTGACTACGCCGCTTGAAGCTGCAAACAGTACCAGGTTGAACGACACCAGAGGGTCGGGTGTCGGGACGAGGAGGCAAAAGAACCCTTTAATCCACAACCTCTTGACAGATAAGCCGGCATATTCATCATCGCTGCCTACAAGCAGACTGGCACACGATGCGTCCTCAATACCAGTGACGACCTCGACTTTTGTGAAACGGGGTATGCCGCTCACTATCTTGCCAAATCCTCACGCACAAACTTGGACTGCTACGTCGAAGCCTCGTCTACAATTGACCGATCCCAGGATCGACTTGGATCGTCTTACATACCTCATTGACGACTCGTTCAATCGAAAGCTCGACGTGGAAGCATATCTAAGGCGCGTCAATGATCGGATCGCCGGCGTGATCATTGCAGGTGAATACGAAGGCGGAGCGATCCTTACGTGGGAAACCCCACCGGGCTGTTCTGACGATGACACCGACCGCCTAGTGCCGTATCTTGACAAGTTTGCGGTCCTCAAGAAATCCCAAGGCGCAGGCGGCGTTGCCGACATTGTGTTCAATGCCATGGTGCGCACGTGCTTCCCCAACGGCGTGTGCTGGCGCAGTCGAAAGGATAACCCTGTCAACAAGTGGTACTTTGAACGGTCGAGGGGCACGTGGAAGATCCCCGAGACCAACTGGACCATGTTTTGGACGACGCCGGGCGTTTTTGATGACGACGGCCACAAGACGCGCGTCTTTCTCGATTACGAGAGTGTCTGTCGGTCCGTGAAGCCCACTTGGGCGGATGGGAAGAGGATTGCCGATTAGATTTGTGAAACAGGAACCATCTTTCAGAAGACTTTGGCAATGTATATATGATCAGATATATATACAGCTAATCTAGATTCTCTACGGATACCAAATGCCAAGGCGCGCAGGCCAGCCAACCTCATCGGTCCCAACAGCCATGCTATGGTATGGCATGCTATCGTTCATGAACGCGTGAACCTATGCTTCCAGAAAAGATATAAAGAGTCGTATTTAAGCCACATTTAGTACTGTAATTGCTCCATCCATTCAATGCGACACCCAGACCCAGACCCAAACCGATTCCCGCTCACGAACAGCTATTTTACACATTTTCATCCAGTGTCAATGTTAACGTTGTCTCCTCTCTTCAGGCTGTTCACTTCCTCCCACCCGTATCTGTCGCGGCGATAATGATCGACGGGCCTGCGACGTCAGCCTCTTCTGAGGCGCCCTTCCTCTTCAGCCTGCGTACGTCGCCGCGCAGCAGCGCAAGCAGGTATACCTCGCGGAGGTATTCGACTTCGTTCTTCTGCGCCTCTTTCTGCTTCTCTTTCTGTGCGGCCTGAACCACCTGAGCCTGTGAGCCATCTGCGATGGAGGTTGCCGCTATGGCTGCAGCAGCAGCGTGCTCGTGACATAAGCCGTCCTCGCGCACATCCTCGGTGCCTTGGATGCTTTCACCTTGAGCCTTTTCAGCGTCTCCTGAGTCACCACTAGCCACGTTATTCTTGTTCTTCTTGTTATCATTCTTCTTCTTCGAGATCCACACGTTGCCCAAGAACAACCCGGCAACTAGACTCAACCCTAGGATGGGCAGAATGGAAATGAATGCCCACATGGTCGCGGTGGCGCCTTGCGAACGGATAGCTTGTTGCTCCTCCGGCGGTAGGCTTTTGACCAGGTCGAGTGACGCTTGGTTGTGCAGGTTGAAGCCTCCTGTGGAGTCTGTTCCATTGTTGTTGCCGGAGTTGACGGCGTTGGAGCCAAAGTACAGACTCATCTGGTTCTGAAACACGGAGCCCATGATCGTGAGGGCGAGGGTGCCGCCGAACGGCAGTGCGAATCTCAGCAACGAGTATACCGGCGCTAACCTGTCACGGAACATACCGGCGAGGTGCAGGTTTGAAGGCATGAAGCGCATGCCGGTGCCCGCGCCAGCGATCCCCATCATGACATTGACCAAGGTCTCGTGCTTGACCTTCACCGCGTAAGCGAGCACGGCGATCCCGGCGGTTTCGACGATAGTGCCGATGAGGAGGGGCGGAAATGTCTGTCGTGGGTATACGTTGCAGATGAATATCGCGAGGTACACACCGACCCCGATTCCGGGGACGTAGTACAAGAGCTGAGTGCCGGCGTGAGAAGCTTCGTACCCTTCAACCAGGGTGAAATAGATGCCGATGAAGTAGAAGACGCTGTAGAGAGCGGCGCCAGTACCGGACGCGATGAAGCAGACTAGACCCACGTCCTTCGAGGAGAGGATAATGGAGGGGATCATCGGCACTGTGCCTTTGGGTAGGTGGCGCGAGAGTAAGCTGGTGGGAGAGGAAATGAGCAGTTCATAGAAGACGAAGAGTACGATGAGAACGGCGCCAATGATCAGCGGCGCCAGCACCGCAGAGGAAGACCAGGGGTATGTCGAACCACCCCAGGCGGTTCCCAAGATGATGAGACCGACCCCGAAAATGAAGAGGATGATGCCACCAAAGTCGAGCGTAGAAAGGCCGCCGGCTAGAGCTTGGAGGCGGCTGGTATTTGGTGAAGGGCGCGAGATTGAGACTTTCCCTTTTCGAAGGTCGTTTCTAAGGATGAAGAGAGTGACAATGCTTATTACGGCAATGCCCGCACCCAAAACAAAGCAGTACCGCCAGTCCGTGTTTGTCAGATACCCGCCGATAACGGGACCAATGCCTGGTAGGAGAGGGGTCAGACAGGTTACGAAGGGCACATTTCTTGGGGCTCAAATCGGAGGCACAGTCGTGGAGCAAGGGGTATTATACATACTGTAGCCAACTCCATTCAACAACTGGAAGATACTTGTGTTGATAGCCTGCTCCTTCAAGGACACCGAATCCGCCAGAACGATCATGCTGACATTCGAAACTCCTGCAGTGCCAATGCCTTGCAATGCGCGACCGAGGAGAAGGACGGCCCAGTTCGGGGCAGCAGCGCATAGAACGCTCCCAATTGTCAAGATGATCACCGCGAATTGTAGGGTCGCATGACGGCCAAAGGTATCTGCTAATTGGCCAAAGACGGGGATGAAGGCGGTCGATGTAAGAGTAAAGGCGGTAACGATCCAATTCAGCTGGTTAAATTTATCTGCCAGCCATTTCCATCAGCATCTTGCAATGAAGAAATCGGGAGAAAGGGGACCTTGCTAACCGAAATGAGAGGCTATTTGTGGTAATGCTGTCGCAACAATGGTCAAGTCTAGGCTGGCCACGAAGAATGCCGGGAGCAGGCAGAAAAGAAGTTTCCATCTGTATTTGCGGGCTTTGCTCTTTTCCTGAGCACATTGCGGGCATGGCCTTTTCTTCTTGGGGTCATTCGATGGAGACTTGAGGTTAGTCGGCTGGATTGCAGAGCCATCGGAAGAGCTTAGTGTCGTTGATGTTTGGTTTTGCCTTTGGGCTTCAAGGGTTTTGCGAGCACGATAGGCTCTGATTTTGCGATAAGTGTATATGAACACCATGGTGTGATGTGAGGTCTATCTCAGAGCATGGTGTATCGAAGACGAAACTCGAGGCATCTGGGCAGCAGAAAGTATCTTCAAGCATACTTATATCCAGTGATCTGAGAGAAAACAAACCTGGAACACCTACTATAATGAACGCGAATACGATGTCTCCCTTCACGCCGTACCAGGCCTCTCGCGCCTCTTCCCGTTTTGCATTTTGACTGCGATTCGGCGAGGCTCACTCGCGCGACCTGCCCAGAGAGGTATAGACGAAAAATGGCTTTTACTACTATTCCCAGAGAGGAACATTGTTCGAGCCAATCATTTGAGCCAATCTTGGAATGAGTGGGCATAAGAGGTTCGCTTCAGCGCATTCTTGGCTGAGGGTGGTGGAAAGTTTAAAGTTAGCAAGGGGCCGGGCAATTCTAAACCGCATCAAGCACGTTGTGCGAATACGTTAGGCGAACTTCCTGGCACCAGACAAAATAGAAATTGATCGATGAGAGTGAGTGAAAAAGCTGATGTTGGGGATTTTGACTTTTTCGCTTGCAGCCGGCAGAATTGCCTTCAAAGTTCACTAAAGCGTCAGTGCCAAGCACCTAGTCGCTAGCGCAGCACTACGTGCAGGTACCAACCCATCCCAAACCTTTCTGCCCATCATTCCCCTGATGCAACGTGACCAACAATCTCTCAATCCCGTTGAAGGCAGGCATGCCCATATGCATCACATGCAGTACTCCGGTCAAGGAGCTATATACTGTTTACAGCAAAGCAGATGACCGAACTCTGGGTAAAGGCGTGCGCTTGACACAATGCCCCAATTGCAAACGGTTCGCCGACAAATATGTCGAACATGACTTTGTCGTCCTTTTTATCGATCTGGTATTGATCAAACCACAGGTAAGTAGGCTGTCTATAAATCTCATGCTTCGTTTGACCAGAGGGTAGGTCTACCGCCATCTTCTATTCAACAGGTTAGGACGCTCCGATGACAAGTTCGATCCCAGCATCTTGCGCCTGGGCACCTTGCTTGTCCTCTTCGACGTCTATATCACCTGGGCAAGGATCGAGAAATCCAATGTAACAAACGGTGGCCTTGCTGTGGGTTCCCGGCTTAGCGAGATGCCCATTCTAGCACAGTATCTTTTCTTTTTGACCATGAATGTCCTGGCGACGTTTGCCCAGCACGGCATTATTCGGACAATGGTCCGGATGCTTGTCTCCCATCAGGAAAAGAAAGAACAGGCTCTCGTAGATGCGAAGCCCACAGCGGCCTCCTTCTCGATCCCCTATACTCGCCCGACCATTGCCACAAGCCATGCCAGCTCTAGCGCCATCAGCACTGCCTTGCTAGTCTCCAGCTGCACCAAGTTATTTCCCATCCTGTTGGTCATCTGGCCGACAGAGACAAAGGAAAGCGACTCATTCGGTTTTGCATTTCGCGCGACAAACTATGTGGGATGGGCAGTCCTTCTCAACAATATCGAAGCACTGCTGATTCTACTCAACTGCGGGTATATGATTGCGACTGGCTTGGCAATTTCTGGCTTTGTCGCGAGGTGGATGGTGGAAGGCTGGTTTTTGAGCTTCATTGGGTTGGCACGAGATACTGGTCCTGTAGGAGATGTCCTGGCCGCGTACCGCTTTCTGGCAGGATGGTTGAATGGGAGCGAATAAATCAGGATACACTACGGATGAGACTTTATGACACTACTCTGGACTTTTAACGGTATTCATTCTCAATCTCTTGCAGTGGTGTGAATGTGTCGGTGAATATCGCGCTCGAAGCCAAATGTGCACCCAGCGCATCTCTTCTCTCAACCACCCCTGTCCATATTCCTTGTAAAGTACTTCGGCCCGAAGTTTATCCGTTCCACCACTAGTGCCCCATTCAACAATAGCGACACAATGCCGACACGCGACAAGGTCGCCTTCAACGTTCCCTGTCTCCGTAGAAAGAGAGCAACGCCCGAACCAGACGTAAAGCCTCAGCCCAGGTCTGAGCTCGGCATGGATGAGTCTTCAGGCCGTGGCCACCGGGAGAAAAAACCTAGCGAAAAGCTCAAGGAACAGGTTACGGCCAAGGTTGACCGGCTTGACGACGAGAAACCTGTTGCCCTTCCCACTTACATTGCGCCCAACGATCCCAAATTTCTCCAAGACCAGAAGGAGGTTCCAAAATTCTTTGACCACTCTAAAACTGCCCCGAACGGTGACAAGACCGACTTCTACACGCTCGGAACACAGTACAGACTCCTTCATCTCTCGTGGAGAAAGCGGAATTGCTAACCTGGAGCAACAGCGTCGAGAGTAAGGAGAAGCGTTACTACATTCGTGCGAAGCGAGATCCTACCACCTTTTATTTCCATGCCGACGAGCCTCCTCCGCGTTACGCCCGCCTGAGCGACGAGAATCACCCCCAATGTGGCGTCGAGAGTCTCAAGAATGTCTTCACCAAGGACATGCTGGGCAAGAGTGGGGAGTTCGGTAGCTACACTACGAGAGCCAATGTCTTTGCTCGGGAAGGCCAATTTTTCTTCGAAGCCAAAGTCATCAGCATTGCTCCGCCAGGGCGAGAGGCCCCAGATCGCGCACTTGCGGACACCCAGAACTCCGACAGAACATCAACGAGCCGAGGTGGCCTGAGAGTGGGCTTCTGCAGACGTGAACACCACTGGAGTGAGAATTTGGGAGGCAATGCCTACTCATATGCCGTTATTTTGAGGAGCGGAAGATCCAAAGAGTATGGCAGCGTGCGGTTCAACACAATGATGTACCATATGCAGGGTGAAGGTGCACAAGATCCCGACGACTTGTCTCCAGGTGATGTTGTAGGGCTCATGATCACATTGCCGCCGCTGGAGGTACACCAAAAGGTCGTCGAGGGCACGTACAACCCGGCTGAGTACCCGCATCTCAGATGCGGTCCGGCGGTAATGAAGAAAAAACAAGGCGCGGGGAAAAAGTCTGCTAAGAGCGGACCAAAATCCAAAGATGGCGACGTGGCTAAGAGCAAGGACGAGTCTGTCAGACCGCACAATGCTCGAGCTGCTATCCGGTCCGCCTTGACACCGATGTTGGGGTGCACCGCGCCCTCGGATCACGACATCATCCGCGACCGCAATCCGTTCCTCCACAAGGGTATGACCTACTTCGAATGTCCAGAATACACGCCCAACTACGACCTCAGCCGGCCCACGTTGAACACAAAGAACAAATCCATCAATCCTGAAACCGGCAAAAAGTACGATCTCCTCACCGAGCCCCATCCCAGCCACGACCTACCTCACCTGCGCACCCTCCCTGGCAGTAAGATCGAACTTTGGGTAAATGGGAAATACCATGGCGTGGTCTGGGAACATCTCTTCGCGTTCCTCCCACCAGCTTCTTATATCGAGAAGGGCTCCAGAGCCGTCACTGGGGGCCATGGCGACGTGGATGACGGCTTGCTAGGATACTATCCAGCGATTAGTCACTACACTGGCGGAGCGATTGAGTGCAAGTTCGATGGGCCCTGGTGGTACGGCTATGAGAAGGACGGCCCTGCACACCCCAACGCCCGTCCAATCGGTGAGCGGTATCAAGAACAGATCGTTGAAGACATGGTCAACGACCTCGTCGATGAGATTTACCAGGAGAAGCTTTACAAGGACCGGGATTGGATGAAGAAGCGGGTCTTGGATGCGCCTGTCAGTCTTCCGCACAGCTGATACAGACTAGGCATGGATATCGTTCGGAATATTTCGTCTGACGGACATGTGCAAAGAATGGCATGGCCCAATCTGGAACGATCAAACGGCTGTTGAGGCGCGCATTGAGGTGTACGATCATGAGGTGACGATTGCCCCTAAATCTAGGAGGATACGGCACGCTCGCAGCTTCGAAGAAAAAGAGGCAGATACAGGGCAGGTGTAACGGAAAGGCAAATCATGATTGATAGGCGGTCAGGGAAGGGAAAAAGTCGATTACAGTGATACCCCATTCTGCATCAGCCCTCCAGGTAGAAGATAGGAAATAGCAATAGCATGACAAACACTCAACAAAAGGATTGAAGAAACCTTGCGAGTTTTTGATTGGTTGTGTATAGTCCAAGCCCCAAGGGACGTCTGCAATACTGAGTAAGCTTATAGAGATTATACGAGGTACAGGAAGCGAAAAGCTGCAGTCAGCACAATGGCAACGCGACAGTTGCGGCAATATGATACTGCTGTGATGGGATATTGTGCTGAGGTCTAGCAACACGTAGGAGATCCTCATGGGGTAACAAGTTTCGGGTTTCTTTCTGACTCTGTCTCTTTCTTGCCCCGGTGGAGAACTTCCCCTGCGTCTGGAGAGACATTTCTATTATGTACCTGGTAGAACTGGAACAGGCTGCCGCGTCTCCTGAAGCCACGGATAGACCAAAACAGCATGATCGGATGAGCATCGGCGCACGAGAGTGGGACAAGGAGGTGCGGCTGGCGAGTCTAAGGCTGAGCTGAGGACGGGGGAACTTCGCGTAGGAGGCAACATCGAGGAGGATTGAGGGAAGGGATGCGCTCAAGGCGGGATGATGGCGACATGAGTGGAGGCCAGAAATAGGATCATGTGTGAGAAGACGTGATGCGACTGGCTGGCGCAAAGGCTTGGATCCGAAACCCCCTTGCTGCGGCTGCGGTGTGGATTCATGGTTACCATACCCCCTGCATCCACCGAAATCGACACTCTGGCCTTATTTAATTCCAGGTGCCTGTTCCTCAGTCACCCAACTCGACCTCATCACCAACCCTCCTCTTCACACCTCTTCTGCTCTTGAATGAATTTCCTTGGTTAATTTGTCCTTTGATGGTTCACTCCACTTTATACTGGCATGGCTCGGCCTGAGCAACCATGAGTCCGCCTTAGAGGATACGTGGTCACTTTGGCATCACCATAATAAACAGCCACCTAATCCCACTTGACGAACTTGCCATCTATCTTAATCAATCCTGCCATTATTCGCACGAAAAGTACCCCGCCTATCACACCAAAATGGCTGGCCCAGCAGATATCGTCGACCCTGCTTCTCTTACTGTAGCGGGCTACAGTCGCAGCTACCCAACGCCACCTCCCTTGTCAGACGACAAGGAGGCCAGCCACCCTCCCCAAGAGCAACCCCAAAAGAAGAAGAGGAAGGCTTGGGGACAACCTGTTCCTGAAATCAAACAAATACTCCCACCTCGGAAACGAGCCAAGACCGCGGAGGAGAAGGAACAGAGAAAGAATGAGAGAATTCTCAGAAACCGCAGAGCAGCGGACAAATCTCGACAACGACAAAAGGCTGCCGTGGCAGAACTTGAAGCACGGCAGATCCGGATTGAGAAAGAAAATGCCGCTCTCCGAGAACTCCTAGGTCGCTATCAGTCGAGATTCGGTGTTCAGGAGGACTTCCCTCCACCAGTCCCAGCTGAACCTCCCAAGATAGACCTTGACGATATGGACGATGCAGCAACGTGTCAAGACTTGCGCGCATCCTCCGCTCAACCGCCATTCACTCCATCGTCATTCAACGACTGCTCGGACTCTGAGTCCAGCCATCCAACCTTAGTTCTATCCGAGGATTCCACCCCCCTAAAACACGAATCACCTGTCCTCGCCCCCCAACTCAACCTCATCCATGAACATCCCGAAGGTGAACAGACCACCTCTGACTCGATGGCAACGCTCTCAAGCTTCCCCTCGGTCTCCGGTATGACACAATATCCTGCTGTGGTATTGTGTGACCTGCAGTGTCAGCCGGAGACCTGGGCTATGAGCCTGCCAGCATTTCCATTGAGTCTCAAGCACAACCTTGGGATCAGTTACCTGCTTCAGGTCTTCCAGACCTTGACGATATTTCACTCCTTCTCGACGACAACGCTCTTGCCAATGTGCAATCTTTTCCAGATTTTGGCACAGCGATTGTCAATGACCTCGACGGAACAGGATTTCTCCTCCATCCTGACCAACTTCCCACTAATTCATTCTTTGATTTCGATGCCTTCGACACCGACCAGGCCAGCGGTCTTTCGCATGAAGCTTCTGAGCCGACTACTCGCTTGCAGCCCACACATGGCGCGCCTCTTACTGGCAGCGACAGACCGGGCTTTGCAGCAAGTGGTTAGCGAGGAAGGTTTTGCCGAAGACCCTGACCGTCGGTGGACGTGGTCGAGTCTGATGACGATCAAGTGGGTTATTCTGAGGTTAGAGAGAGAGCATCGCAAAATCCGTCGTCAAGTTTGGATGGATAAGAAAGGTGCTGCTGTTCAGACTGGGGTTTCGGAGTTAAAGGTCATGGCAGGCGTTGATTATGGAGCCGTTGCCAGAAATTCACAGCTTTGGCAAGGAGCGAGCTCCAACTGTACGATTACTAGGGATGATGGCGGAAGCTGGTTGCCAGCACAGGAGGTCCATTGAGATTGATAACGAAACTTCCATAGATGAGATCAACCGAAAAGCTTTGATACGACCATGACTTATTTTGCCATTGTAGCCCTGGAAATTTAGTCTGCCCCCCTAAACTTCTTGGAAAAATCTATAATCCATGAAGCTGTGGAACGATACAACCTGCTCCTGGCATGGAGTTGTGACTGCGGTCACGTGAGACTGGACGCTTAGAAAAGGCGTGGTCGAGTTTGCTTGTCTGCAGGACATCCAACACGCGTATTATTACTATCCTGTGTTCTAGCCTAGATGAACTATGGTTATCCAGACACCTAAGGATGGGCCATGTCTCAATCATCACCAACCCATCAAGTTCAAGGTACCCCTCCGTGACCTCCGTGTGCTTCGGACATGTGTGCATAGCAAGATGGGCCGTCGTTGAAGACTGCCATACACACCCAGCACAGGTGCGCCTTGCAACCCCGACATGTTATATGATTGCATCCATCTGTCTTCTCGATCGGTGTCGTACATTTAGGGCAGTCTTTGATGTTCAGCTTCTTCTTCAGCCGTTCGAGTGCTTCGTAGCCACCCGAGGCGATGTCTTTGTATTGGGCACACGTGAGATCGTCGTGTCGTGCGTGGCAGGATGTGCACACTGACTCGAGACAATTGGGACATCTGCAAGCCGGTGACCTCAAGTTTGAAGCGGCCGTGCAGCGGTACACATAGTCGCAGTCTGGCGTGGAGCAATAGTGGAAAGCCTCGGGATGACGCTGGAGATACTCTTCAAAGGATGATCTGAGCACACTTTCAAAGACAGAAGACGATAGTCGTTCTTTCAACTCTTGGAGCGTGAATATGGTCGAGCAAGTACCGCCGTTCCCTTGGCACTTGACTTGAAAATCATTTTTACTGGTCGATGCCGCGGATTTGCAGCTATCCTCAAAACATTCGAGGCAGTAAGTGTGCTTGCACGAGGTCTGAACCGGGTTTTCCGCCTCACAGAAGCAGATCGGGCAGTCTCCCTCAATCAGGGAGTGGCTGGCCGCGACGTCACGAATTTCCACAGCGTCTGCGCCATTAACGACTGCCAAAGCCATATCGTATTGTTGCCTTGTGCCACCGACTGTAAGACGCTTCGATATCACGTCGAAAACGGCCACATTCCTACCTAGAGCTTGTTCAACAGACTTGAAACCGCCTCGGATCATGCGTGAAAATTGTTCGGGACTGAGGTCGATGTGAGAGCTGAGAGAAGATTCATCTTTGAGCGCTTCTCTGATATGGGCAATAGCTTGTTGATATTTTGCAAAGGGTCCATAAAAATAAAGGTGACATTTCGATTTGTCCCTGCGGATCAATACACCGAGTTCTTTCTCAATCACCTTGACTTTCATGTATGCGCTTCCATTAGTCTCGAGTGCGGATGCCCAGATGGGATTTTCGCCGTCTCGTAAGATAACTCCCTGCGATATTTCATCGAGGACTTTGCGAGCGCGGACCACATCATTCGCATTGGCACCCTCAACCTTGATTGCTGTAAATCCTGGCACGGTATTCACATACACACGAGACGTGAGATGGTGCCCCGCCCAGATCTTCATTTCCTCCTCAATCCTGCTCTTGGATGCGAAGTAGACTGGCGTTTGGATCTTAACCTTGACAGACTGTACAAGTGTTAGGGTTAGCTTCCCCTGCTGTAGGATAGAGATCTGCTTTTTGTTGAGCGAGCACGCCGATATTGCGTCTGCCTCGTCCTCAAACCAAGCGACAGCCTTTACTCGCCTGCCCTTGGATGTGGGCGGGAGATCGAAACTCTCCAGTCGGCCGTGTTCTTCCAAGAGGGAACGCACTTCGAAGCCAACTTGTGTGTCTGAAGCGTAGTAGCTAACGGGCGATGGCTCGATGTGGCGTGGTCTGTCATATGGCGTGTAGATGCCATCTTGGACATCTTTGTTTGTTGCATCGCCAGGTACATCGCATAACGTAACTGTCCAAGCGACAGGGTTGTGCAAAGTTCTACCTCTTGCCCCTCGAGGAGCACCTCCCTTCACACCGGAACATGTAACGGATTGACCTAGAACTTTGTAATGACCTTTGGCGAATTTCTGTGCAACGCGGTTCGCAATATCGCTACTGCCAAAGTTTAGCCAAAATCTTCGGGTAGCTTTGTGCCAGGATATGTAGACTTTTCTGCAATTCGACCTCCTGCTATCAATTGGAAGTGGCACTGCGCTGACTTCGGTCTTTTGCTGCTTGAGCTTGTCGCTGAGCTCTTTCGCAAATGACGGGTTTTCCGCTTTTACTAAAGCTTTTGTCTTTGGCGGTGCGGTACTTCTCGAGATTCGAACACACTCAATGTCAATATTGAAGCCGAAGCCAAGAAGCATCTGAACCACTGCTTCGCTTTGAATCGTGGGTGGAAGACCGGTTATGCATGCACGAGAGAAATCGGTTGGGAGAGAAACTCTGCGAATTTGACCGATGTCGTTGAAGGAGACCAGGGCCCCCGACAGATCTCGCGTAAAGTCGTCCTCACCTTCTTTTTCCTGTTATACTTCGTTCTCGTTCACCCCAGAATCAGCTGTCCTCCCAACTTTATAACCATCTGGCTCATGGAGGTACGGACATGGGTCATTTCGACAACCACCGGGGACCCGAAGAAACTTGCAAGGGATTGTTGCGCGAAAGTCTTGAGGTATTTGAGCAAGAGGGCTGCCATGAGTCACCGCTGCTACAGTAGTATCGAAGTGTTCAATCGCGGTGCGTGGAGTGTATGCGCCCGCGCTGACATGTTGCTCGCTGTCTATGGTCCGCTCATGAGAGAAAGTGCAACGGTTGCCCTTCATACATCGTCCCTTCGCAAAGTAAGTGCACAGCTTTTGTGGTGCCATGGAGTCTTGAATTTATTAGCAGTAGTTGCCTTGGACGATCATGGCTAGAGCTGGTGGGGATGAGAGTTCCATCACCCACTATTATTATTACTGAAACTGCGCAGTTGCTTGACTGCCAAGACTGCCTTGCGTCCGGTGGATCAATGACACCACGTCTGCAAAATGCCGTAGAGCATTTCAACTTTGAGCGCAGCCTTGATTCTTGGCAGAGCCTCGCGTCGCAATGCGCAGTTCGTCTTGCGGCGCGACAGAAAAATGTCCCTCATGATTTGCGATCCGCCGCGCCAGTCCCATTGACAAGGATAGATAAATGTGACCGCGTAACCCCGCGATGCCTCCTTTTAAAGATGAGCATGTGCTCGTAAGCATCACTGCCGCGCGCAAAGGACAACACCAAAGAACCGCTTTTGCTGACCCTCTCCTAGATCATTGCGCCTGGCTCGCAAATCACCGCCGCACAGCTCGGGTTGCCCGAGTCTTTTACTCCTCCGAGGTATCGCTTTCCCACGCGCATGTTCGCGGGCGCCAATCCTGGAGAATGGGAACCCATCAAGATCAGAACCAAGATCACGACGAAGCCGAAAGTGGTCGAACCGGAACCCGCGCCCGCCCCTGCGCCTGCTGAGCCGGAACCGATTGAGGTCGATGCCAAACCAGATATTCCTGTTCCAGATGGCGAGGATAAAAAGACCGAACAAGCAAATGGCGACCAGATAGATGGGGCAGCGGCCGAGGCTGAGCAAACCAATGGCGAAGTTCCCCAAACCACGCAGCCAAATGGAGAACCAGATCCCCAGCCCAAGGTGGAAGAACCGCCGGCCGATGAGCAAGCTAAAGCTGAAGAGCCAAAACAAGAACCTGCTCCGTTGGAGGATGTCGAGATGAAAGAGGCTCCTGCAGCTGAGGAAGCCTCTAAACCCGAGACTGGGGACACTGAGATGGCTCCGCAGCCGGACCAGGAAGTACAACCCGCAGCACCCCAAGAAGGAGGAGAAGCCACGGCCGAAGTCGAAGAGGAAACCACGGAAGTTTTCGAGGACGACCATTGGTCTACCGAAGGCGCTGTCTACCCGATCAAGGAAGGGCACATTGAGAATTGGCCCTGTTTTTTCGCCCTTCTTTCGCACATCTACAACATGATCTCTCCACCCTTCCACATGCCGGTTCTCTTCGTCGCACAGCCGTGTTGGAGTGCCAGAGATCATGAAATGATTACCCAATACGTCTTTGAACATTGGAAGATCCCAGCCTTCTGTCTAATGGACGCCGCGTTGACGGCGTGCTATGCATATGGCGTGCCGACTGCGCTGGTGTTGGATGTCGGGCATGAGAAATGTGATGTCAGTGCAGTTACAGACTTTCAGGTGAACGAACTTGGACGGGGCATGGCGCTTTCTGGTTGTGGCGGACGCGCGATGACACTTCGGCTACAGCAGTTGTTGGAGAGTCAAGGGTTCGACGAAGATATGGCAGAGCAATTGAAAAAGAGCCCGATTTGCGAGATTTTGCCTGTTGGAACTCCCTATCCAAAGTCTACCTCCAGCAGTACGGCTGTTGTTGCCGCCAATCCAGCTGCCGCGGCATCTACAGGAGCGTTGGATTCTGGAATGAACGCAAAGGATGGCGAGGGACTGAGACCGGGACAGGCACCTCGAGGTCCAGGGATGGGAACCATGGTTGGTGAAGAAGGTCCTAATGGCGATGAAGAGGACAATGACGGTGTTCTTGATGTCGCCGCCATCGTTGCGCGCGACAACGCTGCCGAGTTGCTCGCAAAGCGCGAACGGGAAAAGGCCGAAAAAGCAGCGGCGAAGAAAGGCGGCGCCGTTGATGCGACCAGACAA